TGTACAGATGGTGTATACAATATAGTGAGATAGTAATAGATATGCTCACCTTAGACAGAGCCTTGAATTCCTGGCTCTGAGGTTTGTTGGCAATGTGCTAATTTATTGGGATAGCATTCCCCACATGGTGTTTGGACTTTTATACTTGGACTTTCCATCATTTAGCTTATGTGCTTTTGAGAAGTCTAAATATTGTTTTTATTATTATTTTTTTTTATCTCTACAATAAATTGTTATTTTTTTATATATTAGTCCATATAGTCCTTTCTAGCCTCCAGGAACACCATGTGGGGAATGCTATCCCAATAAATTAGCACATTGCCAACAAACCTCAGAGCCAGGAATTCAAGGCTCTGTCTAAGGTGAGCATATCTATTACTATCTCACTATATTGTATACACCATCTGTACAATACCATCTATGAGGTTCTCTCTCTCTGTTTGTTCCATATCTTCGGGAGAATATCGTTTGGGATAAAGGGGTGTGTTGCTGCCTCAAGAGCAAGAAGGAGTCACTTACGGAGCCAATAGCTTATAGGCTCCAACCCACGTGAGTGGTTTCAACCAATTGCTACCATTATTCATTTTTTATTTTTTTGTAAACCATCTGCACTATATTCTCTCTTTTTGTTGTTTTACTTTGTATGTACATTTGGACACATTGTATCACTATGTTGGAGGGGTGAGTATACCCCCTCATTATTTATATATATATTCAATATAGCGCTCCACTTGCTGGTATATTGTTTATACCTTTTTTTCTTGTATTTTGCATTTTCTTGTATTTTGCACTTCATTGTGGATTAAGGTATTCCACTTTTTGTGTTGAGCTGCTTTTATTCAGGCACTTTAGTATATCACTCACTATCTCAGTAAGGGATAGTTTTTGTTTTCTTTGTGTGTTTCATATTAAGAATTCTGTCTTGCTATTAAAATTTTAACACAACTACTATGTATATTTCCATTGTACCTAGGACCCTTTCTGCAAAGTAGTACTTCCTCCTACTGTAATTAAGCACATTGTTATCTAGTATAACCATGACAATTTTCATTACAGACCACTTAGAATACGGATGGTAAATGATCAACTAATGCTGTTGGAACGAGCTTTCACTAACTCGATGGCCTTCCCTAATAGACTATATTTCAGGTATGAACTCTAAACATTATTTATTTTATTCAGAAATTCTTTTTAATAAAAATTAAAAACATAATTCTGAATTATCCTATGAACCATTTAATGTCAGCAACAATACATATTTTGTTTAAAGAGTTAATTGACTTATTTTTTCCTCTGTCAGTTTCTACCACAGTAACTTAGTTGTCTATGTTGGAATGAAAATGATTTGTTTGTGGGTTGTATCAGGGGTTATATCTCATTGGCTCTCTCCTGCTTCTTTTCTCGTCCCTTATTTATGCCATATATTTTGCATCTCTCCTATGTGTTATGCCTTGTTCTTTTTGTTTGGTTTAGTCATGTGCTCTGGGCTACACGCAGTTCCAGCTTTGCAACATTCCCAGGCCTCGCCGATGCTTACCAGCAAGCCACTGAGACTGACACAACAGAAGACTGGCACATGGTCCACCACCAGCTGACTATCGCAATCCAAGCTGTGGAGAGTGCCGCATCGACCCTGGAACTGGCCACCAAGCTTTAGAGCCAACATTTATTTTCAACTACACATTTCAAGGGGCAGCTTTAAACAAGACACTGGTGCTTAATAAAAATACTCTCTTTAGACAGTAAATTGTATGCTTTATTTCAGACCTAGGAGCCTATTACAAAGTATGTCTCAATTATAAAACCCTGCCACACAATGACTGTAGTGGAGCCCTAGTGCTGGCAGGGACTTTCCTCCGCTGGATCACCCTGAGTAGAATCAGGAGCAAGAAAATACCAAGTAAATAGCCCACCTCCTCCCCAGCAACACTCCTCATCTCTCTGAACTGCCTGCGGTATGCCACCAGAGTGATGGCATATCTGGCTAGTATCGCTTTCTTTAGCCGAACATAGTCCCGAATATCCTCGTCGAGGACGGTCCGATCGGCTTTGGCTGCCCTCCCGGACAGTCTGCTAGCCAAAAATGGAACCCAGTCTTCCAAACTGATCCTAAGCAAAGCATACTGTCTCTCAAAATCTTGGAGGAAAGTATCAATATCCCCTTAAGGACACAACTTCTAGAATAAAAGGGAATCATGATGGAATATTTCCGTCTTGTGTTCTTAAGGGGATATCCTCCCCCACCTCTACAAAGTTCTTAAAAGCACCATAGGTTATCTTACCCTTTTGCACTATGGTCACCACATGGGAGTTTGTCTTTCATTCCATTTTAGCATGAACTCCTGGACTTCTGAAATGGTTCAGGCAATAATTTCCGTTAACGGATTTTCGCCATTTAAAAGATTGTAATCTCTAT